TTTTTTCATTGTTTTTTTTTTCTAATGACCCAGATTTAAAACATCGCTTCCTGCCTAAGATCGTGTTTCTCATCGGTAAACACACATCTTAACCCAAATTGTACTTTGATATATAAACACCATTTCCACTTCCAATCAATAAAAGTTATATTTGCGTGTGTGCATTAATGTGAGTGTGTTTGTGTATACCTCTCTCTTTTACATACAGCGGGACCACCAGACCATATATGACAATAATAATTCATGCAAGGACGGATGACTGATTTATAGATTTGAAGGATGGACTCAAACGAAAAATTCTTTCTTGCACGACATAGAGAACAAGCTTTTCTTGCGGTAGATGAAGCTATTGTTTCAATGTATTCATTACACTTCATATCAACGGACAGCGTGAAACCAAGAAGGAGTAACGAGGCGCTCTGGAGGAGTTTGGAATCAGCCATTCTGATAGGAGGCAGGGAGAGTTCTCTGTGGTGGGTAAGATGGGATAATTTTGTTTTGGAGGTCTTACAAAGCCATTACAAACCATTTCCTGTCCCAGACAACCACAGATTGGAGGTCCTTTTCGAGATCAGCAGCCAAGTTATTTGCGTCAACGATACCAGGTTTATTATTGAGGCAGGAGTAAGTGGTGGTGTCGTCCGCGTAGACGCCTACTTGGGAAATGATGACATCAGGATGGTCATTGATGAATATCAGGAACAGTATAGAGCCCAAAATGGAGCCCTCGTAATAAAAGAGCTGGCGGAGAACACGTTTAGGACGACTTTTACTTCACGGTTTTACATAGAGTTATGACAAATTTTAGGTTGAGTTTAGCTAAATGATTTTCATTTGTAACTGCGGTAAAGTTGCTGAGTAGAACAATATATTTTGATTCGTTCGGTTTGTCAGGAAAGACCGCTTTTCTATTTTGCAATATTTTATGAACCTTTTGTTTCGCATTTGATATGAATTAGGATATTGAAGGATATTGAAATTATTTCAATTAATTTCTCATCTTTGTATCAATACTTAGGGCTGCAAATTCTGAGTGCACTTAAATAGAATCCGATGATTATTCCAGATTTTATTTTGTTGTTATGATGGGAATAGAAATTTATGAGATCATTTTTATTACCTGATTTTCATTGGAAACTATTTTTAAACTACTGCTAATGCTGTGTAGCATGATATCTAGGTAAGGTAAAGTATTGTTTTTTTTTTCCATTTCATATGTAAATTCTAGTGTATGTTCGGATTCGTTTAGTTTAAAAATCAGGTAAACCAATTACATGGGGATGTAGTCATAGATCACCATCATTATATCGGAATTATGTTGATTGATTAGGTAAAATCTTTTGGGTAGGACCAAATTCAAGAAATTCTGAGAAAATACATACCATTACTCCACATAGGAGCGAGCCCATGGATAAAACAACATTTTGTTTATAAAAATTATTTTTTTTAATGTGAAATATCATTGATTGGTAATGTGATGGCAGAATTTTATTATTTTAGATATTGGTAAGGAGAGGTTTATTTGCGATCGTGTTAGATGCTGTTTTAAAAGATGAACGAATTTATTAACAGGATTTTATATCTAGGCTTGCTCGTCAGCCATATTTCGTTCACTTAATTTTTTCGCTGAGGTTGTCTCAATTTTTTTATGTTACGGACTGATTGTTTCATGGATAGTCGTTAAATAATCAACATATTTCTGATATACTGATGTAGCTCTATGATTATATCTGCATGGTACTGAGTTACCTGATCTTGTAGATAAACCAAACTTAAACGTAAAACTTTATATCTCGTATAAATGTTTCATCGTAGCTTTTATCCTCTTTGCCACATTCATTTGGAATCTTTATCATCCCCAGGACAATTTGAGAGGGCTGCTAATATCCTCCCTGCATTTCCTTCAGTTAAATTTTCCCTTCAAAAATGATGAAGAAGGCATATATTGCAAAACTAACAAAGATCTTTGAAGAAACCACCTGCATTCTGTAATGTCACAGAATATCAACCTCACATCTTGCCTTGAAAAAATGCTTCGCTGACGTTTTACCTAACCCACCGCTGAACACGTCAGACCATTCTTTAGTTATTGTCAAAGATGATGCCAAACGAATAGCATTCTCTGATATAGCTTTCTTTAAAACTATTTTTCGTTACCCAAGTGCAGACTGAAACAACTTCAGATCATACCTGACAGAAGCTCCTCTCTCAAACTTCTTCAAACATACTGCCTCCAGCGGGCTACTCTCGTCTCAGAATGGATACTTCTGGAATGTAGAATTTTATACCCCAGAAAAAAATTCGAGCAATCCCTGGTTCACCCCAGAAAGTGTTCCAGTCGTAGCTCACTATAAACGCAACTGCTCTATCACAGGGCGCAGTATAGTTGAACAATCGATGCAAGAATTGGCCTAGAAAATGCAAAGTGTAACCATGCATAATCGGTTCATTCCAAGGTTGTAAACAATCAAATTGAATTGAAGGGATTTCTGTAAGATATCCATCCAAATTTTGAATAGAGGAAAAGCGTTTGTGCACACTATTGCAAATGGCCAGAGGCCGTCTCACCCTTGTCAGTTAAGGCAAAGGACTTTACCTCAATATTTGCCTCTCTCAACGTTAGAAACTTAGACCACCCACTTCGTGAAGTAAGGGTTTTATCTCCCTTTGTCACGTGGTTCAGGTGACAGCTGCTTAATTACGTCAACCCATACTGTAACCATAGCGGCTGTCAAATTCAGTGGGTTTACAGCAGCCACAATGTGAGGTTGCTTTCTTTTAGCATGAGGCAAAATCTGCCCCCTCCAGCAGCTTACAAGTGCATTGTGCCGTTTCTCTTTGGGAATATATATATATTCCTATATACAGAAGAAAACTACAGCTCGAACTCCTTAATTTGGGAAAACCCAAAGCTCAATGTTTCCCATTCATGGAATATTTCCTTTCCTGTGACATAGATGAATCCGTCCCGTTTGAATCTACAGTTCTAAAAAGACTTCACCTACACAGGAGTATCTCCATATTATAAGACCTTTCCATTTTGTTTCTCCTTAAACTCAGCTTTGCTGTGTAGATATATGTTGTATATTATTTCCCGCCTAGGACAAGTGTATATATTTATATATAGTTTTGTGTATATCTTAGTGATATCAAAATTTCTCTAAGTACAAAGTATGTTTATCATTCATTTTCCATTCAGCCATTCTCTTCCGTCCGTGATTTACGTTGTTATAATATCACAGATATAATAATATCCATAATAAGAGAAATATAAAGGGGAGAAAAAATCTTTCATCCATAACCCTTCATATACCGATATTCTCCGTCTCACTGAGTAGAACAGCAGTTGTTTTTTCATTACAGGCGGGAGTTCAAAAGTCTTTATCCTAAGATAGATATTGGTGTTACGGTTTTTTGTGTATATAATGTATATGACTAGTGAGCGAGTCAAAATGACTTAATTCCCTTTATAGTCTACCAATAGGAGATTAACCAATCAGAAGTCGCAGAACACTATATCCGTCGTGTATAAAGGCGGCCATCTTTGTTTACCCTACCGGAATGGCCAGAGCCAACATGTCAGGCGAAGATACCAGATGGAAGAACTATACTTTGCTGTGATATCCACTGCGAACCTGAAATACGCTTTCCTACTGTCTCCGAAATATTCACTGCCAACCTCTGGATTCTATACTCGAAGACGATCGTCATGAAAATGTCTAACAATTGGCACAGGCAAAATCATAGTGGTTGTCCTTAAAAATATCAACCCAGAATTATTTAACTGCTGCTTCAGGGGGGAATTCCTCCCAAGTCTCTGAAAAGTGTTAAGTGCATACCTAGTTTTCAAGAAGACGAGTGAGTGCTCATCAGTCTCCTCATTGTCATTAGCAAGCTTTTTGAAGCTATGATCAACAAGAAGCTTATAATAAGAAGTTTATAATAAACAGTATTCAACAACATTTACTGGCCTGTATTTATAAAAAGAATGTAGAAATATAACAATGTCAGACTTTTCCATTTCATAATGTGTGACGTCATTTGTTACGCCATGAGCAGATATGATTGTACTTGAGAGATTCATGGAAGATGGAAGTTTAAATACAGTAAATGCGACCTCGCTAAACGAACGCTCCTCTGTGACCAAATTGGTAAATGCACGGCAACCTAAATGACGTTTCCGTATAGGATACAAGATTGAATCCTGTCGGAGCACGAATATTTTCAGTGAAAATTTCTCGGACATTCAGGACAGTAAATGTTGTTTAATACTGTTTATTATAAACAGAGCATTTACTTAAATATTTGTATCTA